TTACAGAGGAAACATATTGCCTGAACCAGCTGCATGAAAACTATGATGCACATCCTTGACTTTCTGTCCCTAATGTTAATCACCATTTTTCTTCTTCCTTATCAAGAAATAAAACTCAGGGATTAAGTCAGGGAAAGTGGATACTAGAGAACTCCTTCCCGTGTAATCCAGTGTCTGATGGAGGTGAAAGGGCAGAAAAGACAAGGCTTGTTAACTTCAGGAAGACCTGTTCCACCTTGGAAAGATCCTCAGATTTGGAGATTGCCTGAGGGACAGCTTTGTGATCATTGCAGTCTGGTTCAAATGAAGACAGGCAGAGGGGGTGAGCTTTTCTAGCTTTGGGTGGTAGATACTAAAGGGAATCCAGAAAGCTAGGAAAGGAAAAAGAAAGATTTGGCATTGGAAAAATAGAAGGTTGTGGGTAAGGCTGGCTTCATGGTGTAGCGGTAATATTGCTCAAGAGAAGTCAGATTCCACATGGTGGCCAAAGTCAAATGCTTGGTCCAGTCAGCTTGAAACATGCCAAGCATATATGAGTGCCCAGGATCCAACAGACTGGAAGAAGTGGATTGTGGTGTGACCAGGCTCTGTAGAGGTGCTCATCTCTCTCATGAGCATGCTTTCTATCATGAATAAAGGGAGAGGGGAGAAGATGTAAGTAAAATTTCTCCCAATTCTGGAAGCAGGCAAACAGACCTGGTTTAAATTTGGCTCTATCACTTACTAGTTCTGTCATGCAAGGGACATCTTCCCAAATCTCTGTCATCAGCTGCATGATGAGAATGCTAAAATAGTGTTGAGGTAGGGATGAAAAAGCCATGTTCTTAGCATAATACTTGGTACATTATAAATAAATGCCCAGCAAGTTCTATCCAGTATTACTACTGTTAATAGTAGTGGTCATAGCAGCACTTGTACTAGTGGTTCTGTGGTTAATTTTGGCCATTGCTGTGGCAGTACATGAATTGATGACTGTGGGTAAGTGGATGAATTCCTGGGCAATTTAATAGGTGTTCTCTAGAAAGCCTGGAGTGGCCCAGTTCAAGAAAATGTAGTCAGGGCCAGCAGGTGGTATGGTGCTTAAGGGGGCTGGACTCCCCATATGACTGATCGCGGTTCAAGTTTTGGACCTGGTGGCTTGCTTTCTCACTTTCTCTCTCTCTCACTCTGTCCCTCTCTGGTCAAATTTTAAAAATAAATAAATTAATTAATTAAATAAAATTAAATAATTATTTGAAAAAAGAAAGAAAATGCAGTCTACACAGCCAAGAGTTAGGAATTGCATGTGATTCATTTTCATAGGACTACAGATTTAAGCCATATTGAAGTTTGTGTGAATTCCAGATCACAGATTTCCAAGCAAGTCTTTGCCTTAAGAGGGGGGTTATTGGGAACCAGCAGTTAGCGTAATGGCTATGTCGCTGGACTCCCACGTAGTCGACCGCGGTTCGTGTCCCGGACCCGGTGGCTTAGAACTCACGCCGGGCGCGTGTGCGTGCGTGCCCAAGATCCCGAGAGGAGAATGGAGGAGAAGGGATTGCGGCGTGACCATCCCCCCTGGGGGGTGATTTCTCGCTTTCTGTCTCTATGTCTCTGGCTGGCTGGCGAGCGCACGCGCCCTACAGTGAAAATCTCTCAAAAAAAAAAAAAAAAAGGGGGGGTTATTGAAGAGGCTTTTCTCAAGTTGTTACACAGGTGGCCAGGTATCTGTCCTGCATGTGGGCAGGAGTCCAACAGTCCTTGGAATCTTAAGGCCTAAGGAATGAAGACTAAAAGACCCTTAGATGCCTAGATTTTTATATATAACTATACCCAGTCTCTGTTTTCTGAGCCAAGAGGTTGACTTGTGCCTTTAGACTCTCTCTGTTCTTTTGAAAGGAAGGAGCCACAGTGAGATAACCACAATATTAGTAAAAACATCTAACGTTTACTGAAAACTTACTTCATGTTAGCCATAGTCAGGTAGGAATGATTCTGAGCTCTACTCTAGATAGAGACAGTAGAGTGCTGTGAAGTGACTACACCTGTTTAGAATCAAATGATCAGTAAGCTGCAGAAAAAGATAGAAGCTACATCTTAGCCTATACTTTTTTTTCACCCACCCTTCTGTGTTCCTAGGTCTGTCTAGTTAGAGCTGACTCCTTTGCCTCTTTTCAGGACCTCACTATTAGCACATCTCTCAGAACTGCCTTGTGGTGAGATGTTTGCAATCATAACCTTTACCATAGGTGTGTGCTCGGTTGTTCAACAGTGAGGGTAGGGTTGGCCTCAGCCCTTGGTCATTGTCTCTCTGCTCAAGTATTGGTGTTCTTTGTCTCCCTCCTTTATCCCATCAACATTATCGCCATCCTTCTCTCCATTTAGCTAGTCACAGAAGTGGTAACAAGTTTTTGAGTGGGATAGGCAGACCCATGACAGTTTCTTCTCGACTCCCTTTATATAGTCAGCCTGGGGACTTATATTTGGGGAGCATCTTTCTGGATCCGAAGGGGAAATGTGACTCATCTACAGGACAGATTCAGACCCTCAGATGACGGGCTAAGAGAAGAAGATGGAGAGGTCAAGATCTTGATGGCATGTAATAGCCAGAGGAGGCTTCTTGGAGGAGGGCAGGTTTAGGCATTGTATAAAAGCCTTAAAGTTGGTATAAGAGGAGAGAGATTGTTGTAGGCTACACTTGTATCTCAGCTGGCATGTGGAAGCTTGGATGAATGTAGTATGGAGAAAATACCAGGGACTGAGGTACTCTGAGCTGGATCTTTATCTGGAGAAACAGGAGGTGGGGAGTGCCCTGAAAATGAAAGTGATAGTGAGCTAGAAGTTCTTGAACTTGAGTATGTTGGTGTGGTTTCTATTGTAAACTGTCCAGGGACATGATACCTTGGTTAATGTAGGAAAGTAAGTCCACCTGAATGTATGGAATCGAGTAGAGGTGGAGAATCAGGCAGGGAGAGGCCAGTTAAAAAATGGTAGGCAGGGAACCAGCAGTTAGCGTAATGGCTATGTCGCTGGACTCCCACGTAGTCGACCGCGGTTCGTGTCCTGGACCCGGTGGCTTAAAACTCACGCCGGGCGCGTGTGCGTGCATGCCCAAGATCCCGAGAGGAGAATGGAGGAGAAGGGATTGCGGCGTGACCATCCCCCCTAGGGGGTGATTTCTCGCTTTCTGTCTCTATGTATCTCTCTGTCTGGTGAGCGCACGCACCCTACAGTGAAAATCTCTCCAAAAAAAAAATGGTAGGCAGGGCCAGCAGGTGGCTTGGTGGTTAAGTTTCTGGCTTTCCTAAATTGCTGACTGTAGTTCTATTCCCTGACCCCTTGGTTTGAAAATCACGCCAAGCACACATGAGACTAGAGGAAAAGGAAGGGATTGTGGCATGGCCATCTCCCCAGGGGGTGATTTCTCACTTTCCATCTCTTTACATCTCTCTCTGAGAAGCACATGAACCCTATGCAAAAACTTTAAAAAAAAAAAATCAAGTGGGGGCCAGTAGGTGGTGTGATGGTTAAGGCACTGGATCCCACATAGTCAACTCAACTGATTTGAGTCCCAGACCCAGCTACTTGAAAATCACACCATTGCATGCATGCCCAAAATCACAAGAGAAGGCATTATGGTGTGGCCATTTGCCTGAGGAATGATTTTGCACTTTCTCTCTGGTGAGGGCACATGCCTTATAGCAAAAGCTATAAAAAAAAGAAAGCCAGAATCTTTTGTGTTTGTTCTAAATTCCAGTCTTTAGCTCATTGACTCTCAAAGCAACACTGAACTGGGTACTGTAATTATCAGCAAATTTTGCAGATGAAGAAATCAGTGCCCAGTAAGGTTCAAGGTGACTTAACCCAAAGTCTAACTAATAAGTTGGGGAATCCAAACCATGATTCCAAAGCCCATTTCTCCTCCCCTGCCCCACCCCTAAGAGAATATATGTGGTTGCCAGAGAGATAGAGCCCAAGAGCAAGGAAGAGGAAAAGTACATCCCATAGGGATTGACCATACCCTAGTCCCATCTTCTTCTTTTCTTTTCTTAAAAATAATTATTTATGGGACCAGCAGTTGGCGTAATGGCTGTGTCGCTGGACTCCCATGTAGTCAGTCGCAGTTTGAGTCCCAGACTTGGTGGCTTAAACTCACACCGGGCGCATGTGCACACATGCCCAAGATCCTGAGAGGAGAATGGAGAAGAGATTGCGGCGTGGCCATCCTCCCTGGAGGGGGTGGGGGTGATTTCTCACTTTCTGTCTCTCTGTCTTTATCTTCCTAGCAACCACACGCGCCCTACAGCAAAAACCTCTTCCAAAAAAAATTATTATTTATTTAGTTAATTAGTTTAATTCCATTTGTCATTATATTATTATTTTTATTTTGACCAGAGAGAAAAAGGAAAAGCAAGCTGTCAGGTTTGGGACTTGAACCACAGTTCGCCACATGGGAATCCGTGCCCTTAACTACTATGCCACCTGCCTGCCCCTAGTCCCATCTTCTTTATCTCTCCTATCTTTTGGGATTTGGGGCACATGTGCGCATGTGCCCAGTGTGTTCCTCAAGTGACCAGTTCTGGGACACAAACCACCCAGTTGGTCATTTGGAATCTATGTGCCTTAACCCCCAGGCACCTAGGCACAGAGCCACCCCAGAGCTTAACTACTATATTGCACTGCTGTCCCCAGTCAGGAAAGCAAGTCGAAGCTGTTTAAGTAGGGGGTGGGGAGATGAACAAAAGTAGGCTGAGAGGCAGCAGGAGGAGCTCAGATTCCAGAGAAGCAACAATTTGATTGATTGGCCACAGCAGGTTTCTGAGAACAGGAGTGACAGAATCAATAAAAATTACTATAGAAATAGGGTGTGTTTGACCTCATCTATATGTGAGACAAGGGGAGTCATGAACAGAGAAGGGAGGAGAGATTGGAGCTGAGGGAGTAGGCCATAGGCAGCTCTCTTGGGTTTATAGGAGTCTCCTGCCCTGGTTCTACTGATGTGCCCTCTTATCCCTTTGCAGCCATCGTCAGCCAGTGGCAGCAGGAGTCCAAAGAAAAGGTGGTGTCCCTCCTGCTGTCCCACCTGCCCCTGCTTCAGCCTGGCAACACAGAGGCCAAGTCGGAATACATGAGGCTGCTGCAGAAAGTTCTGGCCTACTCAATTGAGAGCAATGCCTTCATTGAGGAGAGCCGCCAGCTGCTCTCCTATGCCCTCATCCACCCGGCCACCACCCTGGAGGACCGTAATGCACTGGCCCTCTGGCTGAGCCACCTGGACGAGCGGCTGAGCCCCCTGGAAGGGCGGCTGGCACGTGGCTTCCGCACCCGGACAGAGCCATCCTACCACTCGCGCCAAGGCTCTGATGAGTGGGGGGGTCCTACAGAGGTGGGCCCTGGGGAGGCAGGGCCAGGCTGGCAGGACAAGCCTCCCCGGGAAAACGGACATGTGCCCTTCCACTCATCCAGCTCAGTGCCGCCAGCCATCAACAGTATTGGGAGCAACGCAAACACAGGTGAGGAGGAGAGGGGTCTCAGGAAGCCATGCCTATTTGAGAAAGATCTAACTGGGCTCTCTCAGTCACTCTTATCCTTTGACAAGTCACTTAACCTCTCTGGGCTTCAGTTATATGAGGCAGTTAAGAAGTTGTGAACTAGGACCAGCAGATGGCGTAATGGTTATATCACTGGATTCCCACATAGTCCGCTACAGTTCGAGTCCTGAGTCCTGGACTCTGCAGCTTAAAAACATGCCAGGGAGATTGGCAGGTGGCTTGGTTGTTAATGGCGTTCAACTTGCACATGGCCAGCCGCGTTTCCTCCCTCTCTCTTACTCTGTCCCTCTCTGGTCAAATTAAAATAAAAAAGTAAATGAATAAAGCTAAATAAAATAATTCTATTAAAAAAAAAAGCACACACCAGCTGTGTGCCCAAAGTCTTGAGGGGAGAACAGAGGAGAGGGTATTAGGGCATGGCCATCCCCCTGGGGGGTGATTTCTCACTTTCTGTCTGCCTCTTTGGTGAGTGTGCATGCCCTATGGCAAAAATATCTCTCTTTAAAAAAAAAATTGTGAACTAGTGTTCCCCAAGCTGATCTACAGATTCGTTTTAATGGACCCACAGTATGGTTTTGCTTTCTTTTTTTCAGTTTGGTATAGTCTGTTGGCCCCCCCATGGTATTATTCTCTTTTTAAATAATTTGATGAGGGCCAGGTGGTGGCTTGGTAGTTGGAGTGGCTGGATCCCACATAGCTGACTGCACCACTGAATGCTTGGATCCAGCATTGTGAAAGACATGCCAAATGGCTGTACCAGTGTGCCCAAAGTCCCAAAAGGGGAAGTGGAGGAGAAGGGATTGTAGTGTGACCATCCTCCATGGAGGGTGGGGAGTGTGCTTTCACCTTCTCAACAAGCATAAAGGCTTTCTGGCAAATTAAAATAAATACAGAGGCAAGTTGAGATAGTGCGTCAGCCACGTGGTATGGTGGTTAAATTGGCTGGATTCTCACATAACCAACTGTACAGTTCAAATCCCAGACCTAGCAGCTTGAAAATCACACTTGGGGAGCCAGCAGATAGCATAGCAGTTATATCACTGGACTCCCACATGGCCAACCACGGTTTGAGTCCCAGACCTGGTGGTTTGAAACTCACACTGGGAGGATGGCAGTATGGCCATCCCTCAGAGGTGATTTCTCATTTTCCCCCTCCCTATCTCTGTCTCTGTCTCTCTTCTGTGGTGAGTGCATGCACCCTGAGGCAAAAACCTTTTAAAAAAATGTAAAACACACTGGGGCATGTATGCGTGCATGCCCCAAATCTGGAGAAAGTGGAGAAGGGATTGTACCATGGCCATCCCCCCTACTGGGTGATTTCTCATTTTCTCTCTCTCTCTCTCTCTCCAGTGAACTCATGCAATGGAACTACTAAAAAAAATTAAATTAAAAAAAAATTTTTTTTTAAATGAGGCTGTAAGTATAGTGGTTTGGGTACTGGACTCCTACATGTCTGGCTGCTATTTGAGTCCTAGACCTGGCAGTTTGCTTTCTCACTCACTCACTCTGTGTGTCTCTCTCTCTCTCTCTGGTCTAATAAATTATTTTATTTATTTATTTTTTAAAGAGATTTTTGCCTTAGGGTGCATGCGCATCTGGGGGGTTGGGGAAACAGAGACAGTAAGAGGAAAAAATGAAAAATCACCCCCAGGGGGGGATGCCCACACCACAATCACTTTTTCTCCCAGGTACACAAGCCCACCATGATTTTCAAGCCACTGGGTCCGGGACTTAAACTACAGTCAACCATGGGTAGGCCAGCAATATAACTTATGCCATTTGGTGGCCCCAAATAAATAATACTTTTAAAATGTGCAGAAGGTGGCATAGTGGCCAAAGTGCTAGACTCCTAAATGGCTAACTGTGTTTTGTGTCCTGGACCCTGCAGCTTTAAACTCATGCTGGGAGTATGTGCCTATGTGCTCAAAATCCCAAGAGAAAATGGAGGAGAAGGGATTGTGGTGTGGCCACCTTTCCTGGGAGGTGATTTCTCACTTTCCCTCTCACTGTTTCTGTCTCTTGCTCCCTGGCTACAGCACAATCCCTTCTCCTCCATTCTCCTCTCAGGATTTTGGGCATGCACTCACCCATGCCTAGTGTGATTTTCAAGCTGCCAGATCTCTACTATAGCTGGCCATGTGGGAGTCCAGCACCTTCATCACCACGCCACCTGCTTGCCCCAGAAAGTTTTTCTTTCTTATGATAGAATTATACCCCTTTCTTTATGATTTTAAAATACTTTAATACCTGTGATCACAAGTATCTTTAAATAATTAATTACTTTCATCTATTAATGGAGAAATCTTTTTTTTTTTGGAGAGGTTTTTTTTTTGGTTTTGTTTTGTGTTTTGTGTTTTTTGTTTGTTTGTTTGTTTGTTTGCTATAGGATGCTTGCACTCACCAGAAAGACACAGAGAGACAGAAAGCAAGAAGTCACCCCCCCGGGGGGATGGCAATGCTGTAACCCCTTCTCCTCCATTCTCCTCTTCGGATCTTGGATGCACACACATGCCCAGTGTGAGTTTGAGCCGCTGGGTCCGGGACTCAAACCGCAGTCAACTACATGGGAGTCCAGCAACATAGCCATTGCACCAACTACTGGTCACCTATGGAGAAGTCTTTAGTATAGGATTGCTATGACTTTTAGAGTTGTTGATGGGTAGACAAACATAAGATAGATAAGTGGATGAATGGTTAGGTAGGTGGATAGATATAGAGCTGTGTAATTAGTTTGTCTTCCCAGCTGAGGGAACATTTATTCTCCTCACATAGCAATATGTACTTATTGATTATAATCAAACAATACCGAGTTATTAGAAGGATAGTTAGTTGTCCATTCCTCACCTCCCTAAGAAAGTAAATGTTTTCTGTTTAGTATCTTTCCATACATTTTTCTTTGCCTCCACAACAAAAATAAATAGCCATAAAGAATGTCTCTTTCAATGAAATTTTGATTATAAAATGCACATTCTTTCAACAAGTATTCGGTTAATGTGTATTATGTGTCAGGAAGTGTTTTACATGTTGCAAATATAGGTATAAATAAAACAGGTAGGGCTCTCTCCAGGAGCGAAAGGTAACAAATTAACCAAGAAATAAATAAACCAAGCCTCTTTGGTGAGTGTGCATGCCCTATGGCAAAAATATCTCTCTTTAAAAAAAAAATTGTGAACTAGTGTTCCCCAAGCTGATCTACAGATTCGTTTTAATGGACCCACAGTATGGTTTTGCTTTCTTTTTTTCAGTTTGGTATAGTCTGTTGGTCCCCCCCATGGATTATTCTCTTTTTAAATAATTTGATGAGGGCCAGGTGGTGGCTTGGTAGTTGGAGTGGCTGGATCCCACATAGCTGACTGCACCACTGAATGCTTGGATCCAGCATTGTGAAAGACATGCCAAATGGCTGTACCAGGGGGGCCAAAGAGTGTGCCCAAAGTCCCAAAAGGGGAAGTGGAGGAGAAGGGATTGTAGTGTGACCATCCTCCATGGAGGGTGGGGAGTGTGCTTTCACCTTCTCAACAAGCATAAAGGCTTTCTGGCAAATTAAAATAAATACAGAGGCAAGTTGAGATAGTGCGTCAGCCACGTGGTATGGTGGTTAAATTGGCTGGATTCTCACATAACCAACTGTACAGTTCAAATCCCAGACCTAGCAGCTTGAAAATCACACTTGGGGAGCCAGCAGATAGCATAGCAGTTATATCACTGGACTCCCACATGGCCAACCACGGTTTGAGTCCCAGACCTGGTGGTTTGAAACTCACACTGGGAGGATGGCAGTATGGCCATCCCTCAGAGGTGATTTCTCATTTTCCCCCTCCCTATCTCTGTCTCTGTCTCTCTTCTGTGGTGAGTGCATGCACCCTGAGGCAAAAACCTTTTAAAAAAATGTAAAACACACTGGGGCATGTATGCGTGCATGCCCCAAATCTGGAGAAAGTGGAGAAGGGATTGTACCATGGCCATCCCCCCTACTGGGTGATTTCTCATTTTCTCTCTCTCTCTCTCTCTCCAGTGAACTCATGCAATGGAACTACTAAAAAAAATTAAATTAAAAAAAAATTTTTTTTTAAATGAGGCTGTAAGTATAGTGGTTTGGGTACTGGACTCCTACATGTCTGGCTGCTATTTGAGTCCTAGACCTGGCAGTTTGCTTTCTCACTCACTCACTCTGTGTGTCTCTCTCTCTCTCTCTGGTCTAATAAATTATTTTATTTATTTATTTTTTAAAGAGATTTTTGCCTTAGGGTGCATGCGCATCTGGGGGGTTGGGGAAACAGAGACAGTAAGAGGAAAAAATGAAAAATCACCCCCAGGGGGGGATGCCCACACCACAATCACTTTTTCTCCCAGGTACACAAGCCCACCATGATTTTCAAGCCACTGGGTCCGGGACTTAAACTACAGTCAACCATGGGTAGGCCAGCAATATAACTTATGCCATTTGGTGGCCCCAAATAAATAATACTTTTAAAATGTGCAGAAGGTGGCATAGTGGCCAAAGTGCTAGACTCCTAAATGGCTAACTGTGTTTTGTGTCCTGGACCCTGCAGCTTTAAACTCATGCTGGGAGTATGTGCCTATGTGCTCAAAATCCCAAGAGAAAATGGAGGAGAAGGGATTGTGGTGTGGCCATATTCCCTCGGTGGGACTTGGGGGGGGGGGCTGATTTCTCACTTTCTCTGTCTCTCTGGCAAGCACATGCACTATATAGCAAAAGTCTAAAAAAAAAAAAAAGGAGGGGGAGACCAGCAGTTAGTGTAATGGCTATGTCGCTGGACTCCCACGTAGTCGGCCATGGTTCGAGTCCCCGACCCGGCAGCCT